CCTCCTAGTGATAGTAAGAATCAAGGACATTTTTTTCTATTCTGATTTAAATCTGAAGTTATCTGTGTAAATCAGAGTAAGCTTTTTTTTTTTCTAATTGTCATCTTCTGTTTCCTCTTACATAAATATTTTTGTTCTACTGGAGGCATTTATTGTTGGAATAGCCAAGAGTCCCCATAATCTTGGCCTAGGAGTGAAATCTAGAATACTGTTTGCTTTATGGTAAAAACTGATACGTTGTGTTTCAGATATTGTTATATTTGGGGATTGTAAAGAAAACCTTGAAGGCAGTTTTATCATATGTCATCTTCAACTGAATTTGTGGAGATTCCTATGAAAAATGAAAAGAAAAATGCATCTTTTAACAGTTCAGGTATTGGTGTTGACTTCTGCCATCCTTTGGAGGAACCATTCAGAGATACGTAGCTTAATTGGTTCATCTTTGCATGTCTCATTTTTGTGGACAGTGAAGTGGGTGTACTGAGCATTGGTTTATGTTTAATGAGAGTAAGAGGAGCATCATTAGTGCTTCATTTGTTGTATATCAGTTGTCAGTGTAGGATTAAAAAAATACGGCTTGAGATAGTATTTTGCTATTTAATGACATAAGTAACAGCTGTAAGTGACAAAAATCTTCCTCCTGAATCTATAACATGAACCTGTCATGCAAATCATTGCTTTTTTTTTTTTTGCTTACTTTCTTGCATCAGTTTGCCTGTCATATTCCAGTATGTTAGCATTAACTAATGAAAATGATTGTCTATTAATGACTGACATTCACCAGCCTGAATTGTACAGGGTCACTGTAGTGATAGTATTACTCTCTTGGAGACTTCAGCTTCCTGACTTGTCATGATTTTTGTTAAATGAACTGTGAATTTAATAGAAATATACAACTTGTACCTGTTTTGAAAAAATATGCACCTCCTTTTTTAAAAAAAAGTATTTAATATTTTTTGCTATTTAATGGATAAAGAATCTCCAAATGCAGCATCCTATTTTCTCCATTGTTAGTAGTTAATGGCATATCCTAGCCTATAAGAACTAAAAGGAATAATTGCTACTTTAACCTGCAGAAAAGCATTTTTGTGTCTCAAATTGGAGATCTTATGCAGCAGCTAGTGTGGTGACAGACCTTGTTGACAGAGAAACGTGTTTGATAGAACCAAAGGTAGGTAATTCAACTGCAAGTTTTCAGGCAAAGTAAATGCCTTGGGAATTTAGAGAGTGATAACCCCATTCTAGCTTTTGTAAGGTTAAAGCATTTCCCACAATGCAATCTATGGAAGAATCTACTTGGAAAAAGTTGAAGAAGATATGAGTAAGGAAATTCCATTTGCAATGCTGTATTTAAATTTCGCCAGAATTTTTCAACAATCTCCTGTTGATTAATGAAAGAAAATAAAATGGGAAATTTTCTTGTAAAATAATGTCTTGTTAAAAATAAAGAAAAAAGGGATGGATAAAATGGTCAGTTCTAATAATGGAAGGAGCTTACTTTTAAAGTTTTAGCAAAATCTTTGCTGAAGTCCTGACTGTTCAATATCCTTCTAGCTGTGTAAGGTAGCAAAAGTTCTGATAATTTAGGAAATCTACTTAGCACTATTAAAATGGACCAAAGAGCTTTAGAAAGATCTCAAAATAATGTTTGACTCTGCTATAAAATAGTAGATTAAATTAAATGCTGTCAAACTCAAGGTAACGCTAATCAAGAAAACAAACTTAATTATGCATGCACAGTTATCTCAGGTATGTCTTGGGAAGAGAGAGCCTTGGGTAGGCTTCTTCAAGGCCCAGATTCCAGGCTTATGCCCAAGAAATTGCTTAACTGGTCAGTACTACTATGTTCAGAAGACCAGGATTACATTATAAATTCTGTGGTTTAGATCAGCAAGCACAGTATGAATTTCCCATTTCATGAGAATGATCTGCCTTTCAGAGCAGTGAATAAAGATAGTCCTCCAAAGTCAGGTCTTAATAGTGCATACATCATATATATTATGTTGTAAAGCTAGTGTTGTTTAGAAATAGCTATTTAGGCTCACATTTCCTATACATCTCATTTTGTTTTGCTTAGAATTAAAAGCAAAGTAGAAAGTATTGCTAATGGGTTGGTTTTAATTCTTGTAAGTGGTAAATTTTGGATTTAACTCAAATTGACAAGTGGCAACTTGACAAGGCTAGAACTTCAATTAAATAAGAAGCTTGTACAATGAAGTACCTATTCCCTAAAGGCAGAAATTTGCTTTGGATTTTAGGACTAATCTTCCTAAAGCTAAGGAAGGCAAATACTTCTGGCAATATATGGTCAGAACTGACAGAGCATAGTAAGTGTTGTACTTGGCAGAATCAAACTGCCTTTTATTTTGAAAGTAAAATTCACATCTCATGTGAGGAGTTTGCATGTATTTCAAATATGGTTTAACACATATTGAGCATGAAAACAAACATGGCTCCAAATCAAAACTATTGACTGTGCACCTCAGAGTCTGATAAGTAAAAGCCTACACATCTGTTTCTCTTCTAGATCTGCCAAAGCTCCGGTGTTTGTAGGAGGTTGAGGGACTCAACATAAAACATATGTTTTCCTTTAAAAAATGCCTGCTAAAGCCAAACACACTTATTTTGGAACCCCATCAGAACTGGTGCTGGTGTGCCCATGCACACCTTTTTCCCCATAGGTCATAGATCAATGCTAGCTGGGTGGGCAATTGTCCTTTTCTATATGCCTTTCACCGTGAGGGGACAGAATATAGGTGTATGCTCCACATCTCCATTAAAATACCTTTAGTGTTGGGTAGGTGTCCATACCTCCTATTTAAGCCCCTCTTAAAGTGCTGTCCTTTTTGCTCACATGTCTAATTCGAGATATTTTTCATCCATATTCATCAACTATTACAGATGGCTAATTACATTGTAAACTAGACTCAGTCCTGTGTATATGCATGTGTTTCATATACATATGATTTGAATATAGATATGGGTAAGCTTGTGCCTTGTTTTGCATTATAAAATGACAAGAATGTTTAGTAAGTAAAAATGGGAAATTTTAGAAAATATGCACTTTCTTTGAAAATACAGAATTTTCCCCTCATCTTGAAGCATGTATGGCCATTTTTAAACCAAAATAATGTATTCTGATTAGCTGAAAAGATTTTATGAGACAGGCTAAGTTTGAACAGGTCTTTCAATGTTTTAAGTAACACTTGATAACATTGTGAAAAATAACACTTTTCAAACAAATGTGGGTTGTTTGTTTTTTTTTTTGGTGGGGGGGAAGGGGCAGAGTTTAATCCATCCTGTATTATATCTGTCTTAACTAGTGACAAAGACTTTGTTTACTGCCATTACTGTGCATCTGGAACAACTGCGGGAGAATGAACTGCATTTCGTTCCATCTTGTGCATCATCAACAGAATTATCAGCAAAATTATGATTGCAACAGTTTTGTTGGGTGATATTAGACACAAAAAGCAGGACTAGATCTTTAGAATTAGCTGAGCTTAAAGGATTGTTAAAAATTCAGATGAAATCATAGTATGGTGGAAGTTGTCATATTTTAAAGGGGCCAAGGTTTCATTTAACATCTTCCTAAATGTAAGCCAGTTTTCTCATCTGAGAAATAATATGTTTGGAACTGCACCAATATGGGGGTTATAGTTGCAGTTTTCAGAGCATGGACACATGTTTGTTCACAGTCTTATAATTGTATTAGATCTGTTTTATATTTGTCTCATTTACCAGTAGCACATAATACCCAGCCGCTAGGTTGCTAATATTTCCCAGTATTGTCTTCCTGCCTCAGCTTCTGTCAAAATGAGCACATTGCACTGGTCACTTTTTTCTTCTCTGTACATTTTAACTAATGAAGAACTGAGTTATTGTGACTTTATGACTGTGTAGTGTTAAGGATTTCATAGCAAAACCATTTCAGAGTTTATTCTTTGGTAGTGCTAAAGGTGAAAGCACTACCAGGCTTGTGAACAAACCTTAAAAGTAAGCAAATGTCTGCTCCATTCTGTTGTGTTTGAAATTGCTGAAGTGCTGTAGACTGCAAAATAGAAGATCTCCTGAACAACTGAGCAGATCAAGTGCTACAGTAATTCCTGCAATAAGCTTCTCTTTATATCCTGCATCTGAATTGATTACAGAAATAGAGCAAGTCATATTGCTTGAAAGTGGTTGAGGGGGGTTTAATAACAGGTAGCCTGCCAATCATTTATATATCAAGAATTTTCAAAATTTTCCCTATTTGGATTGCTCACAATAATTGTATAGTATTATTTCTGTACCCAAACTGAGTGGCTTTGGAAATCAATATATGCAAAAAATATCTTGACTTTACAAAAAGTTACATCTAACTATTTCAGATGAAAAATTAGTGATCAACAATTCATAAAATTATAACAATTGAATATTATGTGTAAGTATATACTTTGTGCTTTGCTGATTACATCTGTAAGACCTTTATATTTAATGTAACAAAAAAGTATCATGTTTGCAATTTCTTATTTCTAAAAATGAATGCAGTAAATTTCTTATTTCTAAAGATGAATGCAGTAACAACTTGTATTGGGTAAGGAGCTAATCCTTATGGCACAAGCAGCAATATGGAAACTATACAGCAGATGCACAATCTGAAATCTGCTTTTAGCAACTACTTCAATATTTGAATATGAGTATTCAAATATTTGGATATTTGAACATTTTCTTAATATTTGTATCCTTAAAACTCAAGCTTTCATCTCTCCAGAGAGAGCAGACTAAAAGAAGTTACAAGCGTAATCTATTTAATTGTTTTTGTAATGAGAATACTTATTCACAGGTTGTTTACTAGTTATTTACTATTCACTCATTTCTACAAGTTAAAAAATGCTATTCAGATGCTTTACATTTCTTCCAATAGCATTTTTGGTACATAATCTTTTGGGTCTATTTATACGCTATTGATAGAAGAATTGGTAATTTCAGTTCATTTCTTTTCTTGTTTTCATTCACAGGATGCTCTGGCCCTCTAGGAATAGAAGGAGGAATTGTGTCAAACCAACAAATCACTGCGTCATCCACTCATCGAGCTCTTTTTAGACTGCAGAAATGGTATCCATACTATGCACGACTTAATAAGAAGGGTCTTATAAATGCTTGGACTGCTGCAGAAAATGACAGATTGCCATGGATTCAGGTAACAGATGGAGCTGAGCAGAAAAAAAAATCTCGATTCAGTTGTCACTTAAGAAACTGATGAAGACAAATGGCAAACTAATAGCTAGATTTTTGTTCACCGTCCTATGTGTGGCCTGACTAAAGTGGGCTATTTGGTTGCAAAACAGTAATCATAGAATCATAGAATGCTTAGGGTTGTAAGGGACCTCTAGAGGTGATCTAGTCCAACCCCTCTGCACACGCAGGGTCACCTAGAGCACGTGGCACAGGACTGCATCCAAGCGGGTTTTGAAGATCTCCAGAGAAGGAGACTCCACAACCTCTCTGTCATCCTTGTGGCCCTGCGCTGGACTCTCTCCAGCAGCTCCACATCCCTCTTGTCCTGTGGCGCCCAGAACTGGACACAGTACTCCAGATGTGGCCTCACCAGGGCTGAGTAGAGGGGCAGGGTCACCTCCCTCGACCTGCTAGAGATGCTCTTCTTAATGCAGCCCAGGATTCCATTGGCCTTCTTGGCCACGAGGGCACACTGCTGCCTCATGGTCAACTTGTCGTCCACCATGACACCCAGGTCTTTCTCTGCAGAGCTGCTCTCCAGAAGATCGGTTCCCAGCCTGTACTGGTGTCTGGGGTTATTCCTCCCCAGGTGCAGGACCTTGCACTTGGCCTTGTTGAATTGCATGAGGTTTTTCACCGCCCAGTTGTCCAGTCTGTCCAGGTCCCTCTGGATGGCAGCGCAGCCCTCTGGGGTATCGGCTACTCCTCCCAGTTTCATATCATCAGCAAACTTGCTGAGGGAGCACTCTGTGCCTTCGTTCAGGTCATTGATGAATAAATTGAACAGGACTGGACCGAGGACTGACCCCTGGGGGACCCCGCTAGCAACAGCCCTCCAACTAGACTCTGCACCGCTGATCACCACCCTCTGAGCTCTGCCATCCAGCCAATTCCTAATCCACCTCACTGTGCACTCATCTATCCCACACTTCTGGAGCTTACCCATGAGGACGTTGTGAGGGACGGTGTCAAAAGCCTTGGTGAAGTCGAGATAGACGACATCCACCGCTCTCCCCTCATCTATCCAGCTAGTCATTCCATCATAGTAGGCTATCAGGTTAGTCAAGCATGATTTCCCCTTGGTGAATCCATGTTGACTACTCTTGAGCACCTTCTTGTTCTCCATGTGCCTGGAGACAATGGCCAGGATGAGCCGTTCCATCACTTTTCCGGGGCGTGGAGGAAGTGCTGCTTGAAAACTAACCAGCTCTCTGGGGCCCTCCTTCCTTCTAGTGCTCTATCCCATGGGATTCTTCTGAGGAGGTCTCTGAAGAGGCTACAGTTGGCCCTCCTGAAGTCCATGGTTGCAAGGCTACTTACAGCCCTGCCTCCTCCTCGTTGGATCCTGAACTCCACCAACTCATGGTCACTGCAGACTAGGCTACCTCCGACCTTCACATCTCCTACAAGTCCCTCTCTATTTGTTAGCATGAGATAATTTCAACTTGATAAAAACACAGATCTCTCTATTTGAGAAATGTATACATATGTTCCGTTATAACTCTAGGAATCTCTCCTGCAGAAACTGACTTTAGAGTCTTTTCAAGTAAACTTTTTTTTTCATAGATGCTACATTGCTCTTTAGGTCCTTAGTAGCATTTAGCAGCAGTATCTTTTGTTGGTTGTACTTTGACACACTCCTGCAGCCTTCTTTGGGGCAAATTTCATTCTGCTTTAATGTGTTTTTTCTGTTTTTCTCTCTTTTTCCATACCGTGGCCTGTGGAAAGAGTTTGTCTTCTCTGCTTAGCAGCTCAAGGCACAAATGCACTTTAAGCAGTGTATACATCACTCTGGAAGTAACAGTAACTGTTTTATTTAAGGCTGAAATAGTTGTTATTTCAACCATAATCTGTGAGGCAAAAAATACTTTTTTTTTAAAAAAATATTCCTACTCAAAGGCTTTTATCTCCAGATTCAAATGGTAGTGTCCCCTTCATGTACTGGATTTCTTCAGGCCTAGCAAATGTCTTCAGAAAAAGTAATGAAACAATGGACTATGAAGTCCTGTGTGTGTACTTTAATGAAGATAATGATCAGCTAGTAATTTCTACAGCTCTTTTCTCTTAGGCTGTTTTCTTTCGATGATGTGTGGATTGGAATAAGGTGTTAGTTAACACAGGCGAAGATATATATTCATGGGAAAAGTTGCCTACTAATCAATATGGTCAATATGTGAACAGGATGCTTCTTCCAAGTGAACTCAGCACAGTAATAGCAAAAGCCAGTACAGAGGGGGCCACTGCTCCTTCAGGTTGAGCAGGAGGCTGTGGCAATGGCTTGATCCCCTTCTCTCATGAGCCTGCCTCTGGCCACAGTAGAAGAGAGCTCTTCTTGAAGGGAAGGTGCCATACACAACAGCAATTCTGCACGTCCTACTGCTAGTGCAGCTTCAGCTGCACTATTGGGCCCAGTAACTATCCTGTTTCCTTTGCTCACTTAGACAAATCCGGTGTCTAGTCTACTAGCACTGAATAAGTTGAACTACAAGGTCTTTATGCTCACTAGTTGTATCAGACACACTCTTCTTGCTGTTGTCCTTGTGTAAATAGCATAATTTCTATTCACATTTCATTCTTCTTACTGACTATCAGTCAGATGTGATTTTTCTGAACAGTTCCCAAATGCAGTGGAAAAATGTGTACAGGATTGCCTGTTCATTTTTCTTCTTCAGACAGCAGGTACAAAGCACTATTTGATAAAGTTTTCTAAAGCTTGTGTGGTGAGAATACTGGCTTTTGTCAGTTTTGAAAAATGTAGCCTATGTTACTGTTTGTTATTCACTGCAGAGTGAACACACAAAGACTCTTCAATGTATCTTAAGTCAATTTTCTTCTGTGAAGATCAGGAAGGTTAGGAAGTTTATAAAATGCATACATTGAAAAAGACCCGAAATGAAAATGTTAAGGGACTTGAGCAGAATTATTTTCTCTGGAACAGAAGGCTAATTTAACTTTAAAGGATAATAAAAAGCATTAGTGTTATGGCAGCTTTTTGGGATGTTTTAGAACATGGGTTTTATTAAATAATTTGGAGGAAAAAAACAGAAGTGTTTACCATTGAACCCCAAGACATATCTTAATGAGAAGATGAACTGGAGGGGGACTATTACTGGTTAATTGCTTCCTTGCAAAGGCACATCTCAATCACCAAAGTAACTGTCAGATGGCTGTGCATATTTTTACCCACAGTTATAACTTGCCTTGGACTTTGCTCCCAGTGAAGTCATCTTTGATCTTCTCTGGAAAGATGGTTGGACCAATGGAGAAAATGTTTGTAAACATTTCAGTCGAAGGTATCAGCTTTGAAAAATTAGTTCTTTTTTTGGAATTAGTCTAGGTAGTGCCAAGCCTAATTTTTATAGACATCAGATATAAGGAATTTCTATAAAAAAAAAGTGACATGATTAATGAGTGCAAAACAGCTAGTATTCTCTTCCGTTTCCATCTCATTCTTCTTTAAAAACAATTCCATACTTTGCACAAAACTTGCTAAATATTTTAGTGCTCAGAGAGAGGAAAACACTCTTTGTTTCATAAAAACAAAAGTTTAGATCTTGGGACTTTTTTTTTTTTTCCTCCTGAAGACTTTTCACCTTTAAACAGCTAGGGACAGAAAATCTAAATCTGGTAGCAAGATGATACTTGAGTATCATCTCAAGAAGTGCTTGAGAGTATTCTGCAGAAACTCCGTTATGATTTGGTGGGGATACAGACCTTCACAAACTCATGCTTTAGGCTCGGCAGAGTAGTTCATAAGAGCACTATCTTATTCTTTCAACACAGAATACAGACTAAGAGACAGATACTTCCTGACCCTTATGTGTGTGAATAGTTTCTGATGAGAGAAGAATAGCATTTTATTTTTGCACAACTACTATAAAGGCCAGTGAGATATTTCTTTGTGGAACATTACAAAAAGTCAGCATACTCTGATTCTGTGTTAGGTTTCTGACTAGCTTCCTTTTGGTCTGGTGAAAGCAATGCTCCTTCTAACATCCTACTTTTTTACTTTTACATTTTACTTTCTTTATCTCTTAACCACCTTCTTCCTGGATAGAGATGCTTACTCTGCAGTAAGCAGTTGTCTTATATCTTAATTTGCCTGAGAACAGTAGGACATACAGCACCTGTGCCTGAGAGGCTGGAGTGGAGAAGTAGCTCACAATAGAGCTTCAGCAGCTCCTGCCACTGCACTGCAGGACAGACTCAGCTGGGTTAAGTGCAAAATGTACCAGGAAGGCCTGAGAATGTCAGCCCTAGAAACCTCTGCTTTTCTTTCAGCTGTCTGTTCACTTTAAGTGTCCCTTCACCTACATAGAATCATAGAATCATAGAATGCTTCAGGTTGGAAGGGACCTCCAGAGATCATCTAGTCCAACCCCCCTGCACACGCAGGGTCACCTAGAGCACGTGGCACAGGACTGCATCCAAGCGGGTTTTGAAGATCTCCAGAGAAGGAGACTCCACAACCTCTCTGGGCAGCCTGTTCCAGTGCTCTGTCACCCTCACTGTTAAGAAATTTTTCCTTAAGTTCCTGTGGAACTTCTGATGCTTCAAAAGCATCCCGTCATGTGTCACAGGACTATTTAGAAGTTATCCCTGAATTTCCTGCAAGGCCCATATGCTCCATAGCCTCAGGCCGACTGTTCCTAATGCATGTAAGTCAGAATAGCACCTTGTCTAAATTCAAAACAGGATTGCAAATTAAGGGGAGAGAATTGGAGAGGGAGAGAGTATATGTTTGTCTAAGCAGGAGGTAAGAAGGTGGATAAAAGCCTACAAAAGTAGAAAGTAAAGGGTATCATATTTAAGCCTAGACAGTGAAAATTGGGGTGTACCTTGAAGGGTGATAGGAAATAGATATTTAAAAGCATTACATAGCAAAGATTGGCACAGATTGGCAAAGACGATTTTTTGAGTTGGGAGGGGACTGGGTAAATTTTGATTAAGGAGGAGATTAAG